TAAATCGAGCTTAAAACTCGATCGTTCGTACTCGATCCCATCGCACTCGTGATACACGCCCATCGCCGTCTTCACGGTATCGAACTCGGCGATGGCGTAGTAGTAACGCAAACGATCGCGCTCGTACTGACGCATTTGCTCATTGTCAGCCTCCTCGCCGTCCTCGCCGTCGTCATCGTTCCCGTCCTTCTTCTTCGTCTCCGAGAGTGCTTGCGACTTCTTCTTCTCATCCTTCATGAACGCACTCGTCGGACCGTACTTGTTCTCGACAGCCATGCGCTCTAAACCAAAATCGCTCGGATACACCGTCACTTTCTCTAGCGACCCACCTTTCGGCGCGAAGGAACGCAAGACGGCGTACAAATCCACCGCTCGAATGTGCTGCCACTCACAGTTCACGATCGCCAACCGTCGCGTCGCGTCAATGGTTGGAATATCCTTGTCCGCCTCCCCGACGAGCATGGTCGGAAGCACGCCCTCCTCTTCCTCCTCCGCCTCTTCGCTCTCGCTCTCGCTCTCTTCCTCGCTCGACGACTCCAACCCCACGCCTCGCATGCGATCCATCGACTTCTCCATCCGTTCCTCCATATCCCCGTCTTCTTCCTCAGAATCGTCTTCCATCTTATAATACGCCCGCATATCCGCGCGTTGCTTCGCCATCGCGCCCTTATCGTTCGTCCCGCGGCGTCCGCGCTTGTCCCGCGTCCCGCTCGTCCCGCTCGCAAAGTTCGGGTCCTCGAACACCCCTTTAAATCGTTCATCGATCGTCACCGCCGTCTCCTTTCGCGGCATCGCCATGAACCGCGGGTCTCGGTGCATCGACGCGAACCGCGGGTCCGTCACGACGTCCGAATCGTTCGCATCCATCGCTCGAGCGCCGCCGCCGCCACCAAAGCGACGCGCATTCTTCGTGCGTTTGTCCTCGCGCGCGTCCTCGCCGGACGCCATGACGCGGACGTGCGATTGAAACGTGTCCTTCGCGGTCGTTCGCGCGCGGCGAGGGCGTGAACGACGCGCGCGGGGCGGTGTGACGACGTGGTGTGTGGATTACGCCCGGCGCGCGGGCGAACGGGCGAGACGCCGCGCGCCGCCGACGCCGTCGACGACGCCTCACGCGGTGGACGCGGCGTGACGACGACGACGATGGGTCGTGGATTCGTGAACGGCGCGATATCGAGCGAGGACGGCGTCGGCGTAGTCGGCGGGAAGATGGTCGTCGTCGTCGTCCTCGCGTCGGCGCGCGTCGGCGGCTGGATGCGAGCCGGACGCGAGACGGGACGCCGAGGCTTGGATCCTGAGCACGCGCTTCGCGCGCTCGAGCGTGGACGCGAGCTCGTTGATGGCGGTTTCACTCGCGACGCACGTCTCGAGGAGCGTGTGCGCTCGAGAGGCGCGAGCGGCGGCGGCGTGGGCTTCCGTCTCCCCGCGCTCGAGCTCGTGGCGCTGGCGCTCGCGCGAGACGCGCGCTCGCGCGTCTTGATGTTCACTCGATCGCGCGTCCGTTTTCTCGCGCCAGTAGCGCACGCCAGACTGTAAACGCTTGATCGCGCGCGCGATCTTGTCGAATCGTCGCGCGTCCGCCTCGTCGCGCGCGCGTATGATTTCGTACGCTCGATCGTCGTCCACCGCGTCCTCGGCGTCTCTTCGGTCCGCGTCGCATCCTAAATCACCCAGTCGAACCGTCGGCGCGGTCGCCCTCGCGAGCGCGATCTCCAGATCCTTAATTCGGTTTTCGTACATCATCTTCATCGTCGCCGCGTCCTCGCCGTGTTGGTTCCGCATCTCCTCTCTCTTGTCCTCGAAACTCGCTCGACGCGCGTCTCGCTCGCGCGCGTCTCGCTCGCGCGCCTCCTCACCTCGACGCATCGCCTCGTCCACGTTCGCGCGCCACGTCATCTCCGCCGCGTCATCTTCCGCCTCGAATCGCTCGCGCATCGCCCGTAACTCGGCGTCGACGCGCGTTTGCATCTTCATCGTCTCCGCGTCGTCCGCCGCCTCGCGCGCCGCCAACCGTCTCGCCTGCGCCTCCGCCGCCTCCCTGTGCGCGCGTTCACCCGCGTCCAGCGCCTCGTCCAGGGACGCGATCTCGCGTTCGCGATCATCCAGGGCGTCGTCGTGCGCGCGCGCCGCGCGGTCGATCGCGTCGCGCGTCTCCCGTCGTCGCCTCGATCGCATCACCTCGCGCCACCGCTCGCGCACCTTGTGCTCGTTCGCCATCGCGACCGCGTGTTCGGCGCGCGACGACGTCTCCGCCATCGCGCGCGCGCGCGTGGTGTCGACGCGCGACCTGCCGACGCGTCGACGCGTCGCGGGGCTATGAATAGCGCGCGTCGCCGCGTCGACGCGTCCGCTGACCGCGCGCGGTTGACTTTTTCGTGAAACACAAACGACGGTTCATCTTCCGACGCGCACGCGCGACGCGTCGACGCGCGCGCGAAGACGCGCGCGCGCGCGGTCGAGAGCGACCGATCGTCCGCGTCGTCGGCGCCGCCCGCGTCGACGTTAAGCGCGACGGGGCGACGCCGGCGTCGACGCGCGCGCGATGCGCAAAAATAGCGCATCGTCGAGCGTGGACGGCGCGCGACGCGCCCTTCGCGCGCAGCTCCTCGATCGCTCGCGCGCGCTGCGCGAGCGCGAGCTCGACGCCGAGCGCGCGCTGGACTCGGCGCGGCGCGCGCGCGAAGACGCGGGGGTGGAACTGTTCGCGCTCCAGGATGCGCTCGCGCGCGCGCGAGCCGAGTGGTTGACCCACGACGCCCGCACGCGGCGCGCGCGCGACGCCCGCGAGGCGAGCGAGACGGAGACGTTGGACATCGAACTCGCGGCGCGCGCGGCGGAGCGCGACGCGACGGAGGCGACGGTGCTCACCGAGAGCGCGCGGGACGCGCTGGAAATCATCGCGCTCGCCGCGCGAGACGACGGCGACGCGGCGCGAGCGATGGAGCGCGCGGTAAAGGTGACGGAGCGCGCCGCGAGCGTCGTTTCAGACGCGGTGGACGACGCCGAGCGCGCACGGATCGAGCGCGAGACGCGTGTACGATGTGTGCGGGAGTGCGTCGATCGCGCGCGCGCGACGGCGACGGAGAACGCGGAAACAGCCGCGCGGGCGAGGCGAGACGCGGCGTCGATTCGAACGCAGATCGACGATTGCGACGATGCGATTTCACACGTACACGCGAGCGTCGACGTCGCGCGCGAGAAGTGGACGTCGGTGCTCAAGCGCATCGGCGCCGAGGACGCGACGCTGGAACGGATTCGGAGAGACGCGCGCGAGCTCGCGGAATCGAGTCGCGTCGCCGACGCTGAACGCGACGCCGCGCAGGAGTCCATCGCTCGCGCACACGCGACGCAACGCGAACACGTCGAAGAGCTCGAGAGGCTGGATAAAGAAAACGAGAACGCGGATTCACTCGTGGTGAGCCTCAGAGCCGCCGCGGCGGACAAAAAGGCGCAACGCGACGCGACGCAGGCGACGGCGAGGAAGCACGACGACATCTCACGAGGAGAGGAAAAGCGCGCGCGTGAGATTGAGATTGAGATTGAAAAAGTCGACAAGGCGTACGTGGGGCACACCCATGAGTTGCACGACGTCGAAGAACGCGCGCTCCTGCGCGTGGTGGACAAGATGACGACGAATAAGCTCGCGAATAAGTTGACACAAGCCACGAGAGATTCCCGAGCGCGCGCGCGTGCGGCGGCGAACGAATCGACAGTGTTAAAACATAAAGTGGCGCAGACAAAGGTGGAAATCATGCGCATCAAGGATGAAGAATATCTGACTGGTGAACGTTTGCGCGGAGAAGAGCTTCGCATCGAGGAGCGACGAGACGCGATCGACGTGTGCGAGGGAGAGATCGCTCGAAATGTTGAAGAGATCGAGCGATTAACGATGAGCGTGGACGTTGCGAATAAAAAGCTTGAAAAACTGCGCGACGCGTCTCCCGAACACGTGGGGCCACTGGAGGCTCAAATTGCTCACTTGCGCAACGAGATTAAAACAAACGAACAAAATTGCGCAAAGGTTCGGGAGATTTGGTTACAAGCGCAGAAGGCGATGCTGTTCTACGGCGAGCGAAGTCGCGTATACGTAGAAAACTTAGGGCACCTTGGATACGAGAGCAGCGTGCTGTCGAAAAAGAAGGATCGGCACGACCGCAACACTCGGAGATTTGTGGCCGCGTGCGAATCAATCGGTAAAAACATCGAGCGCCAGCGGCGCAAATTAAGCGCGATAGACGAAAAGATAGCTCTCACAACGCGAGAGGCGCGTGAAGAGGCTATCAAGACCCTCAAATTAGAGGAAGTTCGATTCGATGAGATTGATGAACTCAGTGGAGAAATCTCAAAACTTCGCGCCGAAATTCGATCGAGCGAGGAAACGATGCGTGGCGCGCGAGAAGATTCTGACACCTTGAACCGAGATATCACCCAGCTCGACCGAAGAATCGCGCTCGAGCAGCGCGCGCAAATCATGTTGGATCCGACGAGAGGGAATCATGAGGTGACGACCGCCAGGAAGGAGAACGCCAAACTCGCCGCCTTGCTGCAGCGCCTCGATTCGCACCGCATTCAGATTGCGTCAAAAATAGAATCCTGCGTCAAACGTCGCGAGCTCATCGTCGCGAAAGGAGACGTATTCCAAGCGAAGCTCAAAGCTAAGGGTGATAACCTGCGCGAGGCCGAAACCTTGGCCGCGGCGAAGCGCGCGCAGAGCGACGTGAGAAGACGATTGGCGGATGCGCATAAAGCGACGTCAGAGTTCACGTTGAAAGTGACCAAGCTCGAGTCCGAGCACGCCGATGCACGACGAGCGCACGACGATATCGCCAAAATGATGTCCGAGCTGAGCGAGCGGCGCGACTTTTTGCGAGTGAAGACGACGACGCAATTACGCGAGAAGTACGAGCGAGCGTTGCTTGAAACGAGCGGTCATCAAAAGTTGGCGCGCGCGCTTCAGGAACCGTGCGAGAAAGAAGACACGAACGACGATGCGGGCGATCGAGAACGCTACGAACGACTCATCGATAAGCTAGAACAAAGACGCGATAACATGCTGGCGTCGATTCGCGACGAGATCAATCTCCATCCCCACCTCGCGCAATCGCTGAGACGCGCAAAGTCCTACTTGAGCGTCTCCTGAACCGTGTCTATTACGAATTGTAAAAGTACGGCACCGGTACGAGGGCTACATGTTCGAAGAACCGACGCGAAACGCACGAACGACGTCGGTGTGAATCTCCTTCGCGGCACAAATGATGCCACCACCGCCCGGGGCGAGTCGACGTCTGTCGCTCGCAAAGTTCAACGGATCGCCGTGTAAATCGGACACGACGGCGCCCGCCTCTGCGCAACACAGCACGCCCGCGGCGTGATCCCACGTGTTCACGAATCCATCGCCCCTCGCCGACGGGTGCTGAATGAAAACATTCGACTCTCCCAGAGCCACACTCACGTACTTGCACAGCGAGCCGCAGCATAATTTTATAACCGACTCTGGCTCTCCGATGGCGACGCCGAGCGGCAACTTCGTAAACGTCTCGTGCGCCGAAATCACCGCTCGCACGTCCCCCAGCGTCTCCGCTCGAGCGCACACCGCGCGATAAAACTCCTTCTCCCCCCCCCGTCGCGCAAAACACCCCGCGCCTCGCGCGGCGACGATCTCCGCGCCGCCGCCCGCCCACGTCGGCGCCACCATCGCCGCGACGCGAACCCCATCCGCGTCCACGAGCGCCAACCCCGTGACGAACTGCCCCGACCCATCCCTCGCCACGAACGCCTTCGTGCCATCCACCGGATCGCACACCCACCACGGTGCCGACCCATCGTCTTCGCCCGCGTTCGCGTTCGCGCGCGCCCGTTCGAACGCCGCCGCCGTCGCCCGCGTCCACGCCGCGTCCGCGTCCACGTCATTCGCTCGCTCCTCACCCACGAACGCGTGCGCGGATCCACATCTCACGAGCGTCACCGCGCACGCGCGCTGCGCCGCGACGTCCGCGGCGGTCACCGGCGTGCCGTCGCGTTTCTTTCGATGCATCGTTCGATGTCGCAATTTCATCGCCGCGTCCGACCCCGCGCGCGCCGCCGCGAGCGCGCGCGCGACGTCGACGTCATCGATCGGACACGACCCCGCGCGCGCGCGCGCGTTTCGCCGCGCGCGCGGCGCGCGCGAAGGGGAAAACCAGGCGCGCGTGGACATGCCGCGATGGCGTCGACGCGACATGAATCGGCACTCGGCGACGCGTCGACGCCGCCGTCGCGCGCGCGGACGATGACGCGCGCGCGCGACGACGGCGGCGCGCGCGATCGACGCGCGCGTGGCGTGGACGCGGTGACGTGCGTGACGTGGATGGCGCACGCATCGGTGGGCGCGGCGATCGTCTTCGCGTTGGCGGTGGCGCTCGCGAGCGCGGGGCTTGCGCCCGTGGGCTTGGCGCTGGTGCCGTGCGCGCTCGTGTTCTGGCAGCTCATGGTGCCGAGCGAGGCGCTGGGACGGATGCGGGCGAACGGGGCGACGAGCGCGCGGGCGCTCCGGGCGGTGGTGCGGCGGACGGCGGGCGACGGGGCGTGGGAATTTTGGACGTCGACGTCGCGTGGAGTCGAATCGAGGGGTGGTGGGAAGACGCGGGAGGTGGAGCGGATGGCGCGGCGACGGCGGGGGGGAGTGGGGGGGACGGCGGCGCTGGAGGCGAATCGACGGCGGCTGCCGCCGTTGAACGCGTGGCCGCATCGACCGGTGTTCGTGCGCTCGAGTCCGAGGAGCGCGACGCAACGCGTCACCGATGGGTGGGCGTCGAAGCGTGGACCGGTTTTTAAGGCGAAGGACGAGGAGGCGACGATCGGGGTCGAGGATGCGTGCGCGCCGGTGAACACGGAGACGGCGATGTCGTTCGAGACGGAGCTCTTTGAGGGACGAATATTGTGTCGATTCAAAGGCATTGAAGACGCGATGACGCGCACGCCCGACGATTTCTACGCCACGAAGCGGGCGTCGTTTCAGGTCTTGGTGCAGGGTCGATTCAAAGAGCGGGTCAAGGTGAGCGACGTCCTCACCGGCGCCGAGTTTGACAGAGAGTTTGAGAATAAACCGCCGCGAGCGATCGTCATCGCTGGACAGGAATTTTTCAAGCGCCTCACCCCGGGTTTAATCGCGGATGTTCTCTGCGAAGAGCCACATTATTACGCTCCCATCGGGGCGACGCTCAGCGTACTCGCGGCGCACACGCCGGACGAGGCGCCGGACATCACGTCGAATATAGAGGAAGAGACGCGTCGTTTCGGCGGCGCGTTCGCGAAGGGGGTGAGTATCAGCGAGCGATGTCGGATTTTCTCCAATCCTAAGCAATCGAACGAGTACTTCTTCAACACAGAGGACGTGTACACGCTCGATTACTTCCAAAACGTGTTGCTCTTTGACGATTATTGCCTCGACATTGGGTTCGTCAAGCTTCCGCTCCGGCGCTGTCTCAACGGGCAACCCATCAGTTTCTTCGCCAAGCATCGCGACGGACGTTACGCGTACTCATTCGAGATTTGGCACGAATGTCTGCTCGATAAGGCTCCCGAGCGTACGCCCGTCGGTGCGGATTGGCCTCCGTCGAAGTGAAACGGTGAAACTCGATAGCGATTTCTTCGTATTGTGTATTAAAAACGTCCGGGCGCACTTTCCACGCTTCTCCTCATCGACCCTCATCGACACACACTTAATCGCTCCCGTATTTCTCCGAGTATTCCGTGATTCCACCGAGGACGTTGTACACGTTATCGTATCCCGCCGCGACTAACGCGTCGCACGCCCGCGCGCTTCGTCCGCCGAGCTTACACATCACCACCAGCTTCTTCTCTCTCGGCAGCGCGTTCAACCACGACCCGACATCGCTCAGGGGTTTCAGTTCAAACCTTCGCACTTTCAGGGCGTCCCACTCATCCTTTTCTCGCACGTCGACGAACATGACGTCCGAATCGTCCGCGGTTTCGATCATCTCGCGAAGATCATCGCTCGTGACGTTTTCGAAAGAACCGCCGGCGTGCGCGACGTACGCGCGCGCGCGCGCGATCGGGGATCGTCCGCGCGCGAGGGCGGCTCGTCGTGCGTGTGCGCAGAGCGCGGCGCGGGCGAGGGTGGACATCGAGCGCGAGGGAGTGAAGACGTTTCGGTTCGTGAGCCGACGAGTCGGCACCTAGTGGGCCCGCGGGCGGACGCGGACGCGACGACGATGTATTCGGCTCGTGATCGATCGGTCGTGACGCGGTATTGAATCGGCTTCTATTACCCCGCGGCGTTCTCCGCGCGCGCGTTGATCAGGTTCACCCAGTTCCGCACGATCGTGAGCCCGTTCTCGGTGATGATGCTCTCCGGGTGGAACTGCACGCCCTGGATCCACGGATATTTCTTGTGCTTCACCGCCATGATGGTCTCATCCTCGGTCCACGCCGTGATCTCGAGCTCGCTATCGGGAAAGTTCTCGCGCGAGATCACGAGCGAGTGATACCGCGCCGCCTGGAACGGGCTCGGCAAGCCACTCAGCAGGGTATCCACCTCGACGCGATGCCACACCGGCGACGACTTTCCGTGCATCAACCCCGTCGGCGCCCGCACGATATCCCCCCCGAACACCTGTCCGATGCACTGATGTCCCATGCACACGCCAAACACTCCAAATTCCGGTCCAAGCTCTCGAACGACGTCCAGAGAGATCCCCGAATCCTCCGGCCGTCCCGGTCCCGGCGACACCATCACCCCGCGCGGGTTCATCGCCCGCAGCGCCTCCACCGTGATCTCATCATTCTTCACCACCACGTGGTCGCACCCGCAATCGCCCAGGTACTGCGACAGGTTATACGTGAAACTATCGTAGTTATCGACGATCACCACCGGCCGCGCCGACGCCGCGAACCGCGGGTCTCTCCGCGTCGCCGTCGCCGTCGCCTGTGCGCGTCGTCCCGGCGCGCACCACCGCGGCGCACGCACCGCGCGTCGCGCCGACGCGCTCGCGGACGCGCGCGCGCGCATCGTCCTCGGCGTCGGCGCCCAGCGCGCGCGCGTGTGCGGGCGGCGATGGCGTCGGCGATGGCGTCGACGACGCCGATGCGAACCCTCGCGCGCGACACGCTAAACCCTACACCCTCGCGTGCATGTGGACTCTTTCACGAGTCATGTCCCATGTATCACCTCGCACGAGTCATGACCCATGAAAGAGTCCCTCGATGGCGTCGATGCCGATTCAAACGCGCGCGACAGCCGCGCGCGCGCGCGATGGCGCTCGCCGCGCGCGCGCTCTGGCGCGACGCGTTCAGCGATAGCGATCTCGAGAGCGATGGCGAGGCGAGCGAGAGCGAAAACGACCGCGCGCGCGCGCGCGTGGACGATGTGTGCGTCGTCGAGCCGAGACGGGCGATGGATGACGGCACGGACGACGGCGCCGTCGATCGCGCTGGGGGTGGTGAGACGTCCGGAGACGGTGGCGCGACGTCGGGGGAGGTCCTGGGCGCGCGCGCGGTCGAGGGCGTGCGCGTGGGACGGATCGGACCGGAGTTGAGGGACCTTCGGGCGGCGCAGGGGGAGTCGAGGGAGTATTACACGATGTCGCACTACGATCGGTTGTACGGATGCGCCGCGGCGTGGAGACGGACGAGTCGGGGGAGTAAGACGTGGTGTAAGGATGTGCACGGACCGGGGTGTCGAGAGTGCACGTCGTGTCACTTTTGTCGGCAGAAGACGACGGATTTGAAGACGACGTGTCAGTGCGGATTTTGGCGCAAGGCGCCAGAGGGCGGACGAGGGAGAGGGGTTTGGTGCGGTTGGTGTCTCGAGATGCGCATGGGGGAGAACTTGGACGAGGCGAGGGCGGATCCGGAGTGGCGGTGTCCGGTGTGTCGGGACATTTGTAACTGTAGCGGGGCGAATTGTTTGCGGGCGAAGCGGAACTTGTTCCCGACGCAACAGTTGACGGGCGAGGCGCTGCAGTACGGTTGGCAGTCGGTGGCGCATTACCTCATCACCACCGCCATCGTCACCGGTCGAGATGCACCACCAATGCTAGATTTACCCGCCGCGTACTCTGAGCGGCAGCGTCGTCAGAGAGATCCAAGCGCGGGGTCGAGCGCGACTCGAGGGACAATTCCAGGAATGTTCGGGGCGAGATCGAAACAAGAGCAGCAAGCGATGGCTCTTCGCGCAAAGGTTGCCGAGAGCGTTCGCGCCGCGTTCGGTAGGCTGGATGATAACGAAGATTGCGACGATGTTGATAACGGTGACGATGACGGTGAGAACGAACGACCACGTGCGAGAGGCGACGCCGTCGCTCGATCGCGTCAAGGGAGAGCGTCTCGCGGTCGCAGGCGAACGACCACTGGAGACGGCTACGCCAGTTCCGATGGTTCGGAACTCAATTCTTCAGATAGCGAGAGCGACGTCGACGAGTCTGCACCCGTCATTGTGACGCGCGCGAGAAACACGGACTTCATCCTAATGGATGTCAACGAAGCGCCATCACAACCACCGCCGCCAATCGGAGACATGTCGATGATAGACCGAGTAACATCATCGGATAAAGGAACGTCGTCTTCGACGGCGACGCATCACCCGAAACAAAAGAGGGCGAGGACGGACTATCACGACATCGCCACGCGCGAGAGAGAACACGAGGGACGGTTCGCTGTTGCGGGTGCCGAGAATCCAGAGCCCAGGCGGGTCGCGATCGATGTTGAAGAAGTTGAACGCAGTGAGATGCAGCGTGAATCGGCAGGGCGCCCGATCGTGCGAACCATTACTACTGAGTACGGCGAAACGATCCACCTCAGAGAGGGTGATGAGATACCGGCCGTCGCGGCGCCGCGTCGACGTCGTCGCAGACGCTTACCTCGTCCAGACGACGCGGAGCAGTTTGGAACGATCAATCCGGAGGTTGTAGAGGCGGCGCAGGATCGCGCCGTACACGCCGCGGCACAAGAAGAAGACGAGGAAACCAGAGCGGCTGTTGGCGAAGGCGAGTGCGCTTCTATACTACGGGAAGTCCGAGACGGCGCTGTGGATGAATGGACGTACAGAGACGCATTAGTGAGCTCACATCAAGCGCTTCGTCTAGGTATGGATGAGTCCGAAACGGGAATCATCGTAGATGAGGGAGAGTTACGCGCATTTTGTGCGCTAGTCGTGCGCATCGCCCGCGTGGTGCCTCGCACGACGGCGGGTCTGAAAGTAATATCGGACGCGCGTGAAACGCTTGCAGATCCAGAAACGTTCAAATCTTACAACAGCACGGGACGTGCCATCGTGCTCAGGGCGTTGTTGAGATGCAGTGACCACGCGGCGTATCAAAACGTACAGGTCAGGGAATCCATCCTGCAAGTTTTGATACTCATAGGTGAGCTCGGGGAGGAGTACTGTTTGATTCGCCAGAGCATGCTGACAAAGCCAGAAGAAGCGATGCCTCTGCCGGAGCATCTTCAGGCTTCCATCAGCGCACTGAGTGCGGTCGAAGAAGACGGCGAGGAAATGGTATCGGTAGAAATCAACGACGCCGTGGCGTTGTTGCTCCTCGAGCGACTTGAAGCAGCGCACGTGTTATTGTACGCCTCCATGGCAGCACTTCGCCGGTCCGTGCGTGGCCCTCCATTAGCTGGTCGGGAGGAGCTCTTCTGTCCCACGATCGCTGCTTTCCTCTCCCCAGAGTATGCATTCAAAATTAAGTTAAGAAAGCAGGCTTTGAGATTGATTGCCGCCGCAGTGACAGCCGCAACGCGAGATTGGGGGGATCCGAAATCACCGGTAACGGTCGCGTTGGCGACGAATGCAAGCGAGTACGTGTGGCCGTCGCTATCAAATTTACTAGCGGCGGATTTCCCAGCTCGATCGACGACTTCGATGAAACTTGAAGGCGGTTCTGGTATCGCTCGAGCTGCAATCGAAGGTTCAGCACGTCTATTTGCTTTGTTGCTTCGATCTGGAGTTTGGGGGTGGGGCAAGGTTGAGGCAGCTGTTGTTGCGCCGCACACGCCCGCGACATTTTGGCGTTCAGCGGGTGCGCCGTATCGCGCGCTGGCGTATCGGTTGTATTCCCGTCTTCTTGATGTCACGCCGGTGTATTACGGCGGTATAGGCGCCCCTTTGTTGAAATTGTGGATGCTTGCAACCACCGATCCAGCTGCGGGCGAGTCGGGATCTGCCGGAATCAGCAGGGCTCGAGCGCGTATCACACGAGCAGCGAAGCGTCATCCCATCTTGTTCGCCGCGTTTCCGTCTTCGATCATCCTCGATGGTTGTGAAAAGTCGGAAAACGTGTCTTTGCAAGCGCGCGCAAGATGGGTGGCTGAGGTGTTGCGTCAAGCATCGACGACGGCAATCTCACCGAAAGCGCGCGTCGCTGCCGTTGCAGCGGCAAACATATTTTGGGAGGTTCTGCCGATACGCGAGGCAGAGGTGCGAGGTAGACACAGTGAGGGCTCGTTCGCGGCGGCGAGTGCTTTGATTCTCACGACGGCGGCATCGCACCTCTCTGATGCACTGTTGGCCCCGCCTCCGCCAAAGCTTATGCCAATGCTTCGCAAAACAGTTGAGCTCAGCTCGACGAGAGGTGGACGAGAATCGGAAGCTCGCGCAGAAACGCTGTCACACGCACTTCTCACCGTGGCGTCGCATTTCGACGCACAAAATGCCACCATTTTGACTACGCTTATCGCGATATTGCACGAGGCGATGGAGCGTCCTGGCGCGGTCGATTCAGCGAACGCGATGGAGGCGCTATGGTCCTCTCTGGATACCAAAAACGATTTACATGAACGCCTAGGAATCGAGAGCAGTAAACTCATCGACTTAAGAGACTTCATCGTGAACTCTTGCGCGAAGCGCGCCATCGAACGTGCGAGATACAGCGCGTCAAGCAAGACTGCGATGCAAGCCGCGAAGGGATGGTCGCTCGCTCTCGCTCAACTGGCGAAAAGATCATCGGATTCGAACTGGTTCAAGCACTTAATGCCCTCTATACTGGATGCTCTTCAACCGCCGGCGGTGCCAATCGGTAGAAGTGCGGCTCCGCCACCAATTTCGACCGCTGATCCAAGCGTGCGCGCTTCTCTTTACCATGTTCTCGAGGAAGCATTGACGCACCAGCCCGAACTCGCGTCAATGGTCGATGGTGATGCAAAATGTGAAGCGACTCCGCAAGACGTTTTCTTTGTCGCCATCTTGCGAGCAGCGATCGGAGAGATCGCGCACGCACTCGGCGGGGCTGAGGAAGGGAAGGGATATACACCACTCACCGAGAATGATCGAAACTCTGCGAGCCGACGGTTGCGGTCGGCGCTCGGCGCGTCCGTACCACCTTCTCAGGCATTGGAGGAAGTCTATCGATCGTTTAAGCCACCATCCGAAACCATGACTGAGCCACGAGAGAAGGACGCGGACGCTGTAACTTTAACGAGCACGGCGATTGCGGCGCTCAGATTTATGAGCGCATTCACGGCTTCGTCACCAGCGGCAAAACGGTTAGTGAAGACGCACGTGTTGTCTCCCATCAAAGCTGCTATGAAACGCAAAGACTCACACGCCCGCCGCACACTGGCGCGTCACGTCAACGATCTTTGGGCGGCCGCCGGTCTCATTCAGCAAAACTCCAAGGAGAATATGGCACCCATCGTTATCTCAGCGCCGCCAACTCCTGCGAGGAAACAACTGCAGCTACCTCGTGTGGCGTGGCCTGCTGGCGCTGATGAACCGTGTGCATTCGCCGCGATAAAGAACACGTCGACCGGATCGTCAGTAAATGTCGTGGGCCAAGTCGTGAAGCGAGAGCCGTCGAAAGGAGTGACCACTCGAGAAAATCCCAAAACGGGCAAAAAGTTTGACATGCTCTTCGTCACTCTCACTGATCACGTCGGTGACGAGCTGCGAGTGCAACTCATAGGTAGGAGTGCCAGGACGTGCGCGACGGCTTTAGACGTAGAAGGTATGCCCAGTGACATCGCGATAGGTCTCATCGGATTAAAGTCGAAGGGCGCAGCGGCGTGGGATCCGAAAGAAATAGCCGAGTTGATCGTGAATCCCGAGAACGCCGCAATGTAATGAAACTTCGACGATCGCTTCCTGCAGTCGTAGCTCTTTACAAAACACTACCGGTAGACGTAAATAAGGTGGTACACTGAATCGTTGGCGGTATGCGCCAAAAAAATGTGAAGGCGTCCTCAAAGCGCGCGTCGCACCGTCTTCTTCTCCGTCTTGTCCTCGAAAACTTCAGTCTTACACGTAGGACAGGACTTGTTTTCTTTGAGCCACGGCTCAACGCACTCGCCGTGGTACACGTGACCGCACCTGGGGAGTTGACACGCGCTTTCGCCTAGGTCAAATTCCATGCAGCATACGGCGCACTTTGTCCCCGCCACTTTTGCGTCGACGATGCGCGCGGGCAAAGACGCGAGCTGCTCCTCCGTGAGCCCGCACGATACCTTTCCCACGGTATCGCCGAGTTCACACAGCTCTTCGTACGTCATCGCGTCCGTATCGATGCCCTCCGCCTCGGAATCTTCCTCCGCGTCCGGGTCGATGCCCGCCATAGCGAGCATCCGTTGCCTGTACGCGCGTTCCTCCTCCTCCTGCAGTTGCCTCGCCAACGCGAGCGATTCATCCTCCTCCATCTCCTCTACCACGCGTTCGTCCTCCACCAGCGCGTCCTCCACCAGCGCGTCCTCCACCACCGCATCCGCACCACGTTCTCCAAATTGCATCATGAAGTACGCGCGCTCCTGCTCCTGTAACAGCCTCGCGAGCGAAGCCGAGGACTCATCCTACGCGCGCGCGCGCACGCGTCCCGTCGTCAGTCTCGCGCATCGAACGTCAATCCACCCCTTCGCCGCACGCGCGCATCACACCGCCGTCGCATCCATCGGTGCCCGATCGCCGTCCGTCCGCGCGTCCGCGTCCCCGCGCCGACCTCGAGGGGAACGAAACCGCTCGTAACGACCTCGATCTGAAATCTCCCCGCCCACCCGCGCCCGCGCCGTCCCGGCCGCCCCCGAACGCGCGTCCGTCGTCACGAGCGCCACGCCCGAGGTCACGCGCGCGTCCTCGACGCACCTCGCGCGCGACGCGCGACGTCGTCGCCGCGTTCGTCGTCTCGTTCGCCAACGGGTTTCGTCGCGCGCCGTGCGCGCCGTCGCCGTGCGCGCGCTCCTTGCGCGCGCGATGCGCGCGCACGGGGGTGGACCGACCCGAGTTGGACACCGAGCGGTCGTTCTCCACGTCCGAGCCGTCGCCGTCGCACATCGCGCGCGTCACGGGGGGGGGTGTGCGGTGAAGTGTCGTCATTCACGGGACGACGATTCGTGCGACACGTCGTCGCGTCGCGACGGTGCGCGCGTCGTGGACGACGTCGGCTCGACGGCCGCGCGCGATGGACGAGCGTGATGTCGCGCGTCCGGCGTACGGGCGGGGGTACGAAGAGGACGTTCGAGCGCTCGAAGAATCGATGCGAATGATGGAGGATGGGGTCGAGGCATCGAGCGATGTGGACGTACACGCGCTCGCGCGGGGGATGGAGACGAGCGCGAGGGTGATCGAGACGTGCGGGGCGCATTACACGGCGTGGGCGCATCGTTGGCGGTGCGCCGAGGCGCTCGCGGGGGACGCGGGCGATGGGAAGATGGCTGTTTTGAGGGAGGAGGCGGCGTACGCGGCGCGCGCGACGACGTCCAACGCGAAGAATTATCAAGCGTGGAATCACGCGCGGCGGACGATGGAGACGATGGGGGACGAGGCAGACGTGGGCGATCGCGCGAGGGCGTTCGAGCACGTCGACGCGGCGCTGGCGAGCGATGGGAAGAACATACACGCGTGGCAGCAACGCGCGTGGCTCGTGTCGCGGTTCAACGTGTGGGATGGCGAGGACGCTTACACGCGAGCGATGATCGCTGAGGACGTGATGAACAACAGCGCGTGGAATGCGAGGTTTTATTGGGCGAAACACATGTTCGACCGAGGTGACGAAGAGGTGTTGGATCGGGAGACGGCGTACGCGCGAGAGGCGCTTGAATCCGACGCCGAAAATGAGAGCGTGTGGAGTTACCTCCGTGGCTTACGCGACTTCGCCGAAACGTCGCCAGCGGTGGATGATGACACCGCAACGCGCATATCTGAGTTCGTCTTGGCCGTCGCACGAGCCGCTGCGAGCGGGAAAAGTCCGTCTCGCCACGCGTTGCTCGTGCTCGCCGACCGCGTCGCCGCCGAGGCGGTTCGAGACCGCGATCTCGATCGCGCTGCCGACGCTCGATCGTTATTTGGCGCCCTAGCAACCATAGACCCGCTGCGAGCGAACTATTACGCCGTTCGCTTGGATCGATTAGAATCAGCCCTGAGGGCGTCGATGTAACGCCGCACTGCGCGACTCGTCATGACAACCGTCGCAGACTTTCTCGCCTCGTGCGCGCTCGACGCGTACGCCCCGCGATTCATCGAACAAGGAATAGAGACATTGGACGACCTCAGATACGAGCGCGATCTTGACTCGCTGATCGAGGACGTTGGCTTGCTCGACGCCGACGCTGAAAAGTTTAGAGTTGCCCTGAAGCGCGCTCTGAGCGCCGATAAAACGACGAACAGCGAGAAGAAGAGCGACGGGAGGGAAGAACCGAGCTCGAACGATCTCGCGCGAGCGGTGGCGAGCGCGGTGGCGAGTTCGAGGGCGCGTCAAGGGCTCGATGGTGGGAGCGGAACGGCGAGAGGCGACGCCGGCGTCGGCGGCGCGGTGAGGATGGGCGGGGCAAAAGCGAGCGATCACGCGCCGAAATTATCAGTCGACGCGGTTGTGACGGAGGAAATCAATGCGCGATTGGGTGTGGCGACGGGGAGCGAGATTGAGGACATTCTGGACGCGCATCGGGAAAAGGATTTCCTGCGTTTGCTCAAGCTTCGAGACGTGCCGATGGATAATCTCGGTAGAGTGGATTGGGGGGGGCACGAGGCGATGAAAACGACGGAAATAGCGATGCGATGCAAGTTGCTGACGTTGCGTTTGGACTCTTCTCGGAATTCCCATCCGCTGGCGGCGCGCGCGAAGCGCGCGGTGAAGAATACGCTGGATTTGTTGAGCCATAAGGATACGAGGAAGGAGTACTTGACGCTCGCGGTGCGCAACAAGGTTGAGAAACTGCGCGCGCAGGGGAAACTCACGGGCGGTGGCTACGTTTCGATAACGGGGGTGCACTACGGCACGGGAGCGGCGGCGGTGCGCGCGGCGGAGGAGAATTACGTGTCCAAGGACATGATGAATGAGATACCGACGTACGACGCTTCGATTCACGCCCCGGACGCCGAGCTCGACGCCATCGAAGTCGAGCGAAAGATGGAAACTAAGAAGACGTCCGCTCCCAAGGTGGACGTCTCGAGCATTCGAGCAAAACTCGCGAGCAAGAATAAAAAACCAAAATTCATGTGAGCGGCGCGCGTAGCGTGCGTAGTAATGTTAGATTAATACAAGGTTGAAAGTCACGGACTCGCCGCCACATCGTCAGTCTTCTGACCGCGAAAACGTCTGTGTATCCATAATCGCGCGTGGAACACGTCTTCGACGCACAAATCGTGCCCGAGATTCTCGCGCACGACGACGTCGCCCCCCGTCATCGTCGCCGCGTGCAGCGACCACTCCAACGGAACCAACGGATCGTTCCCACCGGCCAGAATCAGCGTCTTCGGCTTGATATCACTAAATTCATGCGACCGATTCGGAAGGTACCCGCGCACGGCCAACACGCCACCAACGTCGCTCAACTCGCGCTTCGCGCACGCGAGCGCCAGGCACGCGCCTTGCGAAAAACCTCCGAGCACGACGTCTCCGCGTTCGATCCCCAGACGCGCGCGCTCTTCGTCCACCAAACGAACCACCCTCGCCACCGAATCCTCCAATCCATCGCACGTCCACGCCCGCCCGTCTCGCTTGACGTGCAGCCTCGGTTTAAACCACGCGCGCGGCGCGTCTCCGCCGACCGACCACCCGCCCGCCCTCGCCCCTTCCCTCGGCGCGTCCGGGCACGCGATCGACGTCTCGTACCCACTCCCACGCGCGACGACCTCACAAAACTCCCGCCAGGACGCCCCACTCACGTCGGCGTAGCCGTGCAGCCAGACGAAGAGACGCTCGCCCGCCCGCCGCGCCGCCGTCCCGCCCGCCGCGCCGCGACCCCACCCCGCTTCGTCCGTCGTCCCCGCGAACGCGCGCACGGCAAGCGCGATGCGTCGATTCACGCGCCGCACCGCGCGCGCGACCTCGGTGGCGTCCGTCGTCGTCGTCGTCGTCGTCGTCGTCGTCGTCGTCGTCGTCCTCGTCATCATCATCATCATCATCATCCTCGCGCGCATCTCGGTCGCGTCATTCGCCTCGAGCGTCGATCGC